AATGAAAAAAAAAAAACACGATGCAGAATCACAAAAAAAAAAAAAAAAAGTCCAAGCAAGGTAAAAAAAGAAAAAAAGATAACGATTTCCATTCTTAAATGTTTCATGAACATTGATTCAAGCTTATTTAATTTTAAAATGTGAAGTGTTTAGAACTTTTGAAAGTTTGAAAAGTTTTGCTGTTTATCGTTGTTTCCTCAAACCTATTTTTTGGAAATTAAGAATTTGGTGACTAATTTGAAGAGAGACGACAGACTGGGAAATTCTGACTTGTTTTTGCAGAGGATTCTGAAGAGGAAGAATGGGCCCTGCCCTGCGAGGCTGCCTTGCCTGCTAAGGTCAGGTCTCAGGGCCAGATAGTAGAGCCCATGTATCAGGATGCTCATCCAGATCCACCTGGAAGCAAGAACAAAGGAGCTAGGGCGATGGCAACAGGACACTCCAGGGCACCCCTCCTGCTCTACTTGTCTGCCTGGGGAAGGAGCTGCAGAGGATATTTGTGACTAGAGAAGGATGTCCCCAACCCCAAGTTTTCATTAGAGATTGCACACAAGCATCGGCTTTCTTTGAGGAAGGTGGAGCTGTGCTCGCCAGAATTGTACCTAGCTTAGGAAAACCAGAGACATTAGGATTGGTTCATCCTAAAATACATAGTAAACCCAAGGTGAATTTATTTCCTTGAATTTTAATGTGCAGCCCACAAGCCTGTGTGGCTGCCATTTGTTTCTGTCGGAATTGAGGTTCTTAAGTTTCTTCCTGTTGCTGCAGGCCTTTGAAAGGTTTGGAACTACCAGGAAAGTTCTTATTGCTACTTGTCCCTAAATCCTGCTATGTCTGTTATAAACAGCTATTAAGGTGAAGGCAGCAGCTCCGCAGGCCCCAGATCATTCCAGTACCAGTTTCCAGGGCCACCACAGGGATATATGTGTGGTCACGGCAGTAGGGATAACTGTGCCCTGACTTCTGCTGAGTCTTAGCCTTAGAGTCTGAAGGAGACAAGCTTTTCAGTGGTAAGAGGCTGGTGTACACCGGCCTGTGCCTTGGCTGTCCTGGAGCTTGTGGTCACCTGTCAGACCTGTGATTGAGTCCAATTCAATTTTCCCACCTATAAACAACAGGAATCTGGAGCAACAAATGAGAATCAAAGCCATGTACTTTAGAACAGGCCATGTATGTCTGTATGTGTTCTTCCAACTCAGGAGGTTTTTGAACTGGAATTTTTTAATGAATTCTAATTCCATAAGAGTAGTGAGCATGGAGGAACCAGAACTCCCTAACAGTTCTCTTGTGCCAGCCTGGGACTAGATGCCATCCAGGCGATAAATAGTATGATGCTATGTGCTGTGTCTTCAGAACAATTGTACACACTGCAACCTCAGTATCAGCTCTGAAATTACTCTGAAAAGGTTTTCAAGTTAATGTTCATATTGTTAGAAGCACATGACTTTCTGATGTTTATAAAATCCAGAGGCCCTGAGTGACAAAAAGCACTGACGATGTGGCTTGAGAGTTAACACAAAACCACCTGGCTCTCCAAATGTGAAAAGCACGAAGGAGCTGGCTCTCAGCAGCAGTGGGAAAGTGCATAAGAGTCTGTTCTCAGCAATCATCCATCTGGCTGCCTGCCGCACAGCCTGATCTACTTTTTACTTTTTCTTAGGTTTTGTAATACTTGGCTCATGATAAAGTGATTTTTCCAGCATTCTTAATACCGCTGGAGCATGGGGAATATCACTCACACAGTCCACTTAATGGCTTTTCCACCTTCTGTTCTTTTAACCCCCTTCCCAGACAGTGTGCTGGCCTGTGGCCTTGCAGTCACTTACCTGTGCTAGTGTGTGAAGCTGGCGCAGACAGTAGATGCACACGGACACAGAATGGGTGCTCTGAGAGCTGGGCTGGGAGGGCCTGAGGGTCTGTATAATCTGAAATTCTTTTGTTACTTGCAGCTCTGACCAGAGGCCTGTTATCCCTTCATCAAGGTCCCGGCTGGCCTTTTCTGTGTCTGTACTGGACCTGGACCTCAAGCCCTACGAGAGCATTCCTCACCAGTATAAACTAGACAGCAAGATAGTCAACTATTACTCAAAGACTGTGCATGCCAAAGACGACACTGTCAGGTCGACTCGGTTCAAGGAACATGAAGATTGCACATTAGTTCTCCACAAGGTCTAACTTTCCCCTGCGGTGTCTTTGAAACTTGAATGTGAACGTTGAATGACAGAGCTATTTTCGGTTGTGTTGGGTGACTTGGCTGTGAATGTTTTTGCTTTTAACCCCTGCTGAGGTTAGACTGCCTCTCAGAGACAAGGAATTGAAGAGCACTAGAATCTTCTAGGACAAGGAATGTAGGACGTGAGTGCTGTGTCCCAGCAAGCCATCTGTTTTCTAGAGTGGAAGTGTCCGTTAAGACCCAGGAAAACATCCCGGGTAGTTCTTCCAAGCAGAACTCACGTCTAATTCTCTAATGCAAAAGCCTTATCTTTAAGACCCAAGGTTTGGATCTCCTCCCACCAGACTCTTGACATAGAGAACTTGAATTGTCACGAGTATCTTACAGTTTGGATTTTCAAGAAAACATGGATACTACTGGAACTTTCCCAGCTGTTAACTGGTCACTTTTTCAATGCAAGTCACACATCAACACAGGTGTTGGGTGGTTCCCTGCTGCAGAGCGGTCAGGGTTAGTGTGGACATTGGTTCTGAGTGGTCTAGACTCAGGTCCCTGTGGAGGTACTGAAGCCCACGGCTTTGTAAAGGGGCAGCAGCAGGGAACACAGACTCAGGTCAGGATGGACACCACTCGCATGAGCCTTGCTTTTTTTTTTTTTTTTTGGTTTTATTTTTTAAATTCTTCTTTAATGATTTTAACTCTAGGGGGAGCTGAGGCGTTTTTTTTCCTACCTGAAATTGCTGCTGCTGTAGAGGCTGGAAGCAGAGCTGTAACTCAGAGCTGCTGTGGTCAGCTGGGTGGGTGCCCAACAGCCCGGAGTTTTCCTGGCACTCTGGTGTCTCGGATGGTTGAGGAACAAGGTTCCCTTCCTCCTGAGCCACATTCACCCCAGGTTAGCTCTGGGGCACGTTGGGTATGTGGGTCTAGGGCCTTGCTGTTTTCATCAGGGCTATAGAAGGCTCCTAGCTGGCACTTGAGGATTCTTATTGGGGTCACCAAAAGTGTGCCTGGCTGCTATGAAATCATTGGGAGTTTTGGCTTCATTTTTTATCCTATGGTAGGCTGTACAGACTGATTATTTATATCATCCTTTCGAGAGACTAATGAAGGCTTATTGTAACATAGTAAAAACCATGGAACTGTATGAAAATGCTACATGAAAAAATGAAGAAAATATTTTGCTGATTGTAACTTTTGTGGGAAATTTTGTGATAATTTGAGAATTATACTTGTTTGAATCAAGCAACCTCCTATAGAATTTGTTAAATTCTGCTCTAATATTTAACTATTTTGAACACTCAGGTAAAAGACACTTGTACATTTGGATCCTTGACTTTCTTTTGACTAGTGTATACTGGGATATGTGCTCATAGCCTTCACCTGAATCATGTGCTTGAAGGTCATGTTCTCGTGAGTGGACATGCAGGGGAGAGCAGCCTTTAGTTTTGTTTTGACTTGTGTGTGCGCGCGTGTGCATGTGCACAAGCTCGGTAGTGGTTATGCCTGAAGCCACAGTAGTCATCTCAGGCATGGCTGGGTCCAAGGTTCTCAGAGCAATTTCACAAAACTTTTATTTCTCAAACACTGGTCTCTCTTGGAGAATTACTGTTTAGCAAGAGGCTAAAGAATATAGATAGGTGGATGGAAACAAGCAGCCTCTCCTGGGGTAAAGAACACAGATGGACCACTCTGTTGATGTGGGCAGGGCTCTAGTCCAGCTATGTTCTGATGTGCTCTGCTTACCTAGTTAAGGATGCCCACACCAACCCATCATCTTAGCAGTGTAACAGCAGGTAACTGAGGCACTCACCAAATGTCAGCTCTGTGTCGGAGATGATACAGCCTTAGACTGGGTAGTGCTTTTGTGGTGCTGGGTATTGATTGGATCTAGGGCCTTGTACATCTTAGGCAATTGTCTACTGTGGAGGTCTACTTTAGCCTTTGTTTTCTGAAACAGTGGCTCACTATGTAGCCAAGGCTGACTTTAAACTTGGGTTGCTCTTGTGTGCTGGCATTATAGTCATGTACCACACTCAGACTGTGGGTGTGTCTTCAGTGAAGTTCCCAAGTAAAGAGAACAATGCAGTCATCACTGTCAAATAGTCCTACTTTTGAAGGAGACCAGGAGGAGTGTCAAGACTCTCTGGGAGATGCTGCTATGGCAGACAAGGTGGGTAGTGTTGGATTGGACTGTGCCCCATGCTGTCTTGGGCCATCTTGATATGAGTTTGGAGGCACAGCTCTTTTACACTCATTTGAGAATGGACAACCATTCTTGGAACACTTTTTCAAATATTAAACTTATTTGTACAAAGCACTATGCATGTTGCTTTTAACATACTGAAAAGCTTTATTTCTATGTTCTGGGAGTTCTGTGTAATGTACCACTAGTGCACATACAAAGCATGTCTGAAAAGAGCAGATGTTCATACTTAACAAAAGTCACATGTTCCCCAGCCCAGAATCTTATTCCTATATGCTTGCCAGCACGGAACTAGTCATTTTCCACACAAAGCAATTTTATCAGGCTGTCAAGAGCAGCTTCAATTCCAAGTACTCCTAGCAGTCTTCGGAAACTCAGAGGAGCAGTTTCTATGACCCTGTTCTTGTCCAGCTCCAGGGCTGTGAAGAAAACACACCTGGTAAGAAACCTTATAGTGTCTGTCTAATAAGATCCTTCCTCCCCCAACAGCCACACAGTGGGATGCATAAGAGACAGGGTGGAGAAGCCCAAGGAGCGATATTACCTGTAACTTGAGACAGAGAAAATGCCTTGCACCACGAAGCCTGCAAAGGCCTTAGGACAGTAGTCCCCTCTCATGCCCTGTTTAGGTGGTTACTGACTGAAGTGTATTAAAAGGTGATCTACAAAGTACATTAATGACAATTTCAACATTTGATTCTTCCCTTGTAAACCCAGATAAGACACTCAGATGGCTCTGTTGGGTCCACTTACAAGTCTTGTGAAAAGGGTGTCTGTACATAGAGTCCTACCTCGCTCTGGGACTTTGGTGAGAAGATCCAGCTTTGGGAAAACCTTCCCTTCCTCATCTATTTGTATCCTCCAAACAATCACTAGTTCAAACCTGAAAAAGAGGCAATGTTTGGTGTTCTTGGAATTCAGAAAGATTAGCCTCTGGGCATGTGGTCTCTACTGGCCAGACTCTCCTCCTAAAGACCTCTCCCCACAGAAGAAGAAAGTGTGGGAACTTGGACCACAGCAATAGGCTTTGTACCCACACCTTGGCAAACATCAATGTGATAAGAAATGGGACAGGCAACAGGATATTCCTGTGGTAGTGTTGTGGCAATATTCTTTGAAAATGATCTGGAATGGGTAGGAAGCTGCATGCACACTTTCTTCATGGTTGGAATTTTCTTATTCTAGGAGCAGCCCATGTGCTATATGGCAGGAGAAACAGGAATGGAAGGCCCAAACCTTCAGGACCTGAGAAACACAGTCAGAACTCCTTACTGGAGGATGAGGCATGAGAAGTGAACTACAACCACATGACAAAGGCCAGCCCCAGCAGCCTGTGTAAGAAAGACCTTGCTAGAAGGCAGACTAAGTGTGGTCACACTGTGGCTCTAGGTCCTGAAGCACATATGGCCACATGTGAAACGCAAAGGCATAAGATGAAAAGCAGAAAAGTGACTGTGGCTGTGGCTGTGGGAGGGTGCTGCCGAGAATCTTAGGTGCCCAGAGTAGAGGTGCCCCTGTTTATCTCGGCTTCTCTGAGGCTGGTGACCACACACCTCTACCTTCTCTTGGCCACCCAAGGACCCTGAAGAGATCTGTCTCTTGCTGCCCCCAGGCCAGCATTTAGCTCTTCCAGCCCTGTACTCCTTTCCAACCTTTGCTCTCCCTTCACAGTGGTCCACCTGCCCACTGTGGATGGGTATCTATCTGCTGTGATTCCACCCATTTCTGCACCGATACTCTTTAGTCCTCCTTAGGTAGTTTCTTAGTCTCTACTATGTGTGGACAGTCCTGGTTCCAGCACTTAATGCTGCACAGACTTACCCTGGCTGCCTGGCACTGTGGATCTCCATGCAGTGGGAGCAGGTGCCCTCTGAAAGGTGCACGCTATCTGGGTACTTCTCCTGTATGTGAAAATAAATAAATGGTTACAGTCTGACCCATCTACAAGAAATAGCATCCTGAAAGGCAGGAAAAACATCTGGAGTCTGAGATTGAAGTGGTGCCCACTGTACTGTTCCCACTCCTGTCCTTACCTATTCTGCCACCTCAGGAGCTAATGGCTGTCCCTTCCTGAGATCTCATGATAATATCACTATATAACTTCATTTCCAATTTCATTTGTATTTCTGCCTGCCTACCACTTGGGGGCAACTTGTCAACTCTGTCTCAGGACCTGGACGAGCACTACAGCTCTCAAGCTAGTGTCTAAAGGGCTTTGTAAAATGGAGACTTACAAAAAAAGCCTTTGGAATTGAGGCTCTTGTGGGTATTGGCTGCTATCCGGAACCAAGCCTGTCCATCCTCACAACTCATCCAGATAAGCTTCTGCCCTTGAATCCTTGACACGGGCCAGGCCTGAACCAGGTGCCCACACTATAGTGGAGGTACCAGGTCCCCTTTGTGATAGGGAAAAGCATGGGGTTTGGTGTCAGCTTCAAGGGGAGATCCCTACCATTCCTGGTTGCAGTGTTCTGTCTACAGAGAACAGGAGTGGGTTGAATGTCACAGATTTCTAGGTTTGCCACTCTAGAGTAGGTATGATTTCCTCAAATCGTATGACTGCTCTGCTTTTCCACAGCAGGACCTATGAGGTGTTAGCACATCAGAACTGATATACTCAATTATATCACTGTGACAACAAAGCTTGTTTTCCAGGTACCTGAATGGGTGACAAATATAACTGATGTGCATAGTTGTGGCCCTTTTTGTCTGCTCTTGTGCAAATAGACTACAGGGTTAGAGGATAAAGAACAAACATGAAGTTGGCACCATCATGAGACTTTATGGTCTCAAGGCCACCTTTGAAAGCTCCTTCCATGTACCCCTCAGTGCCTGAAGAAGAAATGCTTCCCAGGGCGATAACTAAGTCAAGCAAGGGCTGTAAGGTGCAGCTGTCCCCTGGGGCAGCCAGAGAGCCACTGTCGCCATGGGCTTGGGCTGGGACCCGGGGTAGAGCCTTCTAGACTGTAGAGACTGGCTGGATTAAAGCAGTCTGGGTCCATCAAACAAGGTTCCATGGGACAAAGATGTATTCCAACCCTTCAGAGAATGCAGACTACTACCCTTGGGAGAGCCACTGCTGGCAAGGGAAGCAAAGGCTGCAAATATCCATGCATGCAGCCACCAACAGAGAACATCCAGACTCCAAAGCTGGGGTGGACTGGTGTACTTTACAGATAATTACTAATTTCAGCAAAGTGAGTTTTTAGGAGAAAAATGTATATCTAAGTGATTTCAGTGGAAAGTGCTGGTTGATGTTTAAACCTCAGGCTCTTCTAAATTAATAACAACTGTCTGAGGGACGTAAAGGAGTGTGTGAACGTGGCAGTTCAGCTTCCAGACTGTGCTTGGCGGCAGCACATGGGGCTCAAGGGAGTGCTGGGGCTTGGGCTGGCTCCAAGGCGGGGCCTGAGGCTTGGCCTCCAAGCAGGAGAGGGAGCTGATCTCCACTCCTTAGGCTTCTCTGCTACTTGAGCAAAAGGAAGACTCAAATTAGATGCTTTCACTACAAAGTATACTCTTAGTTTTTACAATGCAGTCAGGAATGCTGACACTGGGCAGAGGCAGGCATTCAAACATGTGCCTCCTGAAAGCTGGGGCTGCAAACGTGTGTTCCATGGAAGTTATGGTTGCTGCATTTAGCCAGCTTCATTCCTTGCCTGGTGACCTCAACTCTAGAACAAAGTAGAGAGGAAGAAGGAATTAAAAGCTGACAGCCTGAGTAGGCCCCAAACCTTATCACAATTACTAATATAAGTGTCATTCTTTTTTTCCTTAAATATCTCATTTTATATGCATTGGTGCTTTACCTACGTGCGTATCTGTGTGAGGTGCCGGTTCCTGTGAAACATAGACAGTTGTGAGCTGCCGTGTAGGTACTAGTAATTGAACCTGGGTCCCCTCAAAGAGCAGCCAGTGCTTTTATAAGTGCCATTATTCTTAAAGATTTATTTATTATGCATACAGTGTTCTGTTTTACATATATGCCTGCACACCAGAAGAGGGCACCAGATCTTATTACAGATGGTTGTGAGCTACCATGTGGTGGCTGGGAAATGAACTCAGGACCTCTACAAGAGCAGCCAGTGCTCCTAACCACGTCCCAGCTGCAATCACTAGTCTTAAGAGTGACAGGAAACTTGAAATGTCATTATATTTGACTTCGATAAAGAAGGACCAAGTAGGCATGGAGGAGTTAGTCATGGTTGCTGAAAAGGCAAGGATATACACATTATATCTTAGAGTATCTTCCATGAAAACCAGTAAGACAACAAAAATGTTTATCAGAAATTGTCAACCTGACCTGGAAAGCAATACATTCTTCCACCAATAAAGCCGCTGCCCAGACATGGGAAGCACCTGGCCAGGCTCTGGAAGGACAATCTTGGACATGCTCTGTCTAGTGCATAGGTGTGTTTTGCACGTCACCAGAACCTCTGGTGTACAGAGAACAATAGAAGCCTGTGTGTGCAGATGTTACCAGGAAGGCTGTATTATGGAGGTGGCTGTTGGAGGGGCCTCATGCATACTAACCAGCTGGCTTTTGTATTTCCACTCCAGGGCCCCAGGCTCTCCAGGAATGCTGTGCCTGGGTACCGCTGAGGAATGCTGAGGCTGTGTGTTTACTCAGCTGTGTGCCATATGGTGGAGTATGCATGGAAAAACAAAAACAAAACAAAAATGACAACAGACCAACAGCTGGATGTGGTGATGCACACCTACAATGCCAGCCTTTCTACTACCTGGAGGCTGAGACAGTCAGATTACACATTTAACACCAGCTTGGACTTGCACTGACTCAAAACAAGGGACAAATGATCCACTTTTAAATGACCGACAAAAGATAAAGACAACCAAGTAAGAATATGGCAGGAAAGGAGCATCACTGGCTATTAAGCAAATGCAAATTTAAACAGCAGTCAAGATGACTAATGGAACTCTGATAGAGTCCCACTCAGACCACAGTGGCTGCTGGGGCTCCAGGGGGCCAGCACAGCCCCTCTGCCAGGGTTAATGGGCCTTGGTTCCCAGCTTAGTCATTTGTTGGCTGGGTAACTTTGAGAAATCACTTTAAAACTGTGAGCCTCAGCTATTGTTGAATTTGTAGTAGTTCCGAATTGACAGAAGCTGCTCATGGACGTAGGGCTGCAGCCTCTACTCTTCCTCACCCTCAAGGTCACTTCCTGTATTCTGGACTGCTAAAGCCGGAATGTGTGCCCTTCCAATGTCTCAGCTGCCCACAGTGTCCCCTCACCTTGGTCCCTTCAGATCCCAACATAAGCCCTATATCACATCTTGTTGGTTTAGGGGCAGCAGCTGGGCCCTGTGGCTCATTCTGGTTCTGGGGCCACACCCAGAAGCAATGGCAACCACCATGAGGGCTGTCAGAAGAGGCTTTCTATTTCTGATGCTCTTTCTGCCTCGGGGGCGGGCTATCTACCCTTCTCCCTGACAGCAGCTGCATTCAGTCCTTGTTCTCTCTGCGCCTAGAGCTTGCTAGGGTTACTACTTACTATGAACCTCATTTCCCACCTGTCACAACCTGCTCCTTACGGGAAAAAAACAGTGGTGCTATAGGGTGTGGCTCATGTTCACACCTTCCCACCCCATGTGGAAAGAAGCAACTCTCCAAGGAGCTGATAGGATTGGTAACCAAGACAGCTTTAGCTTTGTTAAGAGTTTAATTATAGCCTGAGTGGAAAGAGTAAGGGAAGTACACTCGTACACACACCAACAGCCATTTCTGTTCCTGTCTGTGCACAGGAACATGTATGATCTCTGTTAGACACCTCTTCTCATGTTGGTGACTCCACTGGCTCAGGACTAAGAAGCTTCACCAGAACTGGAAAGGGAAAGAGCTTGTCTTCCTAAAGACATCTCTTCACTGCTTAGCTGGCCACTTCCAAAGCACCAAAGTGTCTGATGTACTTCACCCCCAGCTGTGAGGTCCTAAAGGCACTTCTGGAGAGAGGCAATAAAAGATACTTCAATTCAAAAATTCTAAACACTGACACAGTGGACATAGTGCAGCATCTATCTGACAGGAACTCATCTGACTCTGGGCCTAAGGCAAGGCTGGCAGATACCATGATCCTTTTAGTCAGTGTGGCATGTGAATCAGGCTGTGTTTCAGATTGTTGTTATAGCAAGCAAAGGGTTAGCAATTCTAGAGTAATTTCGGAGAAGTACTCTTACCACAGCCTTCTGAACTGACTGAACCAACCCCTCCGGCATCAGAAGCCCATTTTGGAAATGTTTGCATCAGTACAACCACCCAAAGGGAAGCACAGTACATACTATCCAACTCAAGTGCTGACCCCTGCCCCTGGCTGACAGATGGTGCCGGCCTGTAAGTCCTTTGATTACATACTGAATGGAAAGACTGACTATCCAAGGACTTTTAAGCCATTTTCTCCAGAACTATATTTTTTCAAGTAAACATTCCATGAAGCAATACAAATAGAGTTGAATGAAGTAGCTGTGTTGCCAGATTAAATCCTCCAAACTGTATTATCCTAACTTTCCTGGACTTGGTCCCATGATTAGAGACACAAAAATACTGGCCCAGCCATGAAGTCTGCACTAACCCTTCTGGGTTGTTAGAACAATGGGGCACAGCTGCTCACTGGCTCACCTCACTCATCTGACTCTCAACAGAGGTCTGATATCATCAGTAGAGGAAGTAAGGCATTGAGAAAGAGCTGCTCAGGACCACTGCTGGAACCATCCACAAAAATAACGGACCAGCATAGGAGGTCCATGATGAATACTGCCTATCCAGAGGGACTTCACAAACACACACCAAGTGGTGCTCAGATAAGCAAACAACTACAATAGTCTATTCCAGGCTATTGGGCCATGAACCCAGGAAAGCCATAATATCACTGCATCACCAATGGTC